TAAACCTTCCATGTACGACCATATGTATTCCAGCCAAGGTCAGAACTTTGTAAAAACGTTCCCATAATACATAAGTCATTTGAGATCTGAATTACTTATTAAAGTTGCGTATGTTTAGTGCGATGTTAAACTATCCTGCATAGAAGAAAATTTCTTATATTGTGTCACTTAATTTAGGATTGAATAACCGAAACGTTCTCAAATTTTAAACGAATTAAAGGCGGTTCTATCATTAAAAATGTCTTTTTAAAGTTGTTAGTCTATTTTGTAATAATTTATATTCCTATTAATACATTTTTTCCATACAAAACGCCATGACATTGTTTAAACTCAATTATAAGTCTGTTTTAAAATAATTTTTGTTGCCAGTTTTGCATGTACCGAGTTCAACGTATATGCCTAAAACTCAAGTTTCCACTTTCATGGGGGTATAATAGATAGTTATATTAACAAATACATGTTCGTTCATATTTTTCTATACATTTTGGATAGTTTTGACGGCCGCTGTTCTTATTATTTGAAAATAATACATCTTTTTAAACTGAACCCCCCCCCCCCTTCCCCCCCCCCTTTTTGTAAAGTCGCATAAGTTTTCTCAGAAAACTCATTTAATGATAGGTTTCTACCTTTTTGATGAAAAATTGAATAAGGAAGAAAATAGATTCAAGTTTTCAATCATTCTACTGCAAAAAGGGTATTTAGATTGGAATTAGATATTCAGTTTTGTTTTCCCTTGAAAACGACATGTGACCTTTGATCTTGATTTCTGAAAAACTGCACCATATTTTCTTTTGACGACCAAATTAATTTCAAAGTACACATATTTTCGAATCGAATGAAATATGATATAGCCGTGTAGTAGTTTTGAAGATTAAACTTTTACAATTCCGACTTTGTTCACCGGCCTAAAAATGGCATAATGCAACTTTTCTAAAAGATAATCTAAACTGAAATATTTGTAATTAGAAATAACTAGCTATAGGAAATTTTCAGAAGTGGCAGTTTAAATCTACTTACTTTTTTTTTGAAACCTAGGTTCTTTTGGACATTAGATGAGGTCTGTAGATGGGGGAGTGAGTGGTGGGAAATTGTGTACATTTTTATGTTTTTTGATTTTTTTTGGGGGTAAAGATTGGATTCATTCAATCAAAAGTCTTGGTTGGTTTGATATTATCAATTTTCTAGATTTTATCACTACTTTTAATATACACAAAACATAGTGCCTTGAGCACAATATTGTATACATCCTTAGTACCTTTTTTCAAGAATTTTATTAATGAAATATATACTCAAATACTTGCCTTACAAAATTATGTGTATGTGAACATAAATAACCATACATGTCAAGAAAGTTACATAAATTGTGCATGGTGCATGAATCTAGTATCTGTTCTAAAAATATCAATGATGTCATTGTTAAAGTAATATTTAAAAATTGGAGCTATCTTCCTTTATACATAAAAGTACAATATTATGTTACATTCCAATGTTTAATTTTTTGTTTCCACTACAATATGAATGCAATCTTTACCCGTCAGAGCTCACAAGCACTTTGATTATGCCATTTTTGTAGTCTTTTTGTGAAAAAAGATGAAGTCCAAATTATATTCGTTACATTTTTTGGTAATCTGATATACAAATTTATAGAAAATCGTAATACAATATAGCAGCCTCCATTAACAAGGTAGTTATAAATTGCACAAGTGCCCAAGTTAAAAAAAGTTAGATTTTGGATTTACTGATATATAGATTTTTAATGCACCCCATTATTTTATATTCTCTATGTTTTACACACATTTCTCTATTCCTTATTTTTTCCCAATTTCTTTTTCTATTCTGTTACCCCTATCAAAACCCTCATGAGTTACGTTTGCTTTAAATGCAAAATGTACATTATTGTATGCCCCATTAAGTAACACTGGTAAATTATCTTTGATATGAGAGATACATATATTATAAACTAATTTCTTTGAACTATTTGTCCAACCTGTTAAAGACTTTAGCCAAATTGAAAATTTGGGTCCATCTGATGGCAATGACTAGTGGTCATATTTTAGGTGAGTTTTTTTGCCTAATAAGAACTGATGAAAATAAATAATCTATATTTAGCAAAGGCTACGAGATCCTATCTAGCAACTGGTTAATATGAATATATAACATGTATGATGAGAGAAAACTCCTGGTACCCCACTAAACCAAATTAAAAAAAAAGGGAATTAAGTGATGAATGAATTAGAAAGGTGCACTTTATGGTGCTAAATGATTTGAAGAGATTAAAACAATATTGGTTCTTCATTTGGTTTATAAATGGACATGCTAAGTAATCTGATAAATAATTACTTTGCTTGGTAATTAGTGTTTTAACAAGGGAATAACTACCAATGTTGTGGCATTAATGTGTTGTTTAAAATTAAGGAGATGTGGTGTGATTGCCAATGAGACGACCAAAGGACCAGAATAAAAACAACTAAAGGCACTGTATGGCCTCAACAATGAGCAAACATCATACTATATAAAAAGCTATCAAAAGCCTCATCATAGCAAGTAAGGCAAACAGTAACCATTGACAACCATTGAATGTTAGGCTTCTGATTTAGGACATGATTGCTTTGATTTCTGACTGCTGTTTTAGATGTTGCTGGGTCCATGAGATGTCCCAAGACACAAGCAAGTTCTAAACGAATCTTGGACTAATAATCGTAAAGAATGTGGCAGTGTTAAACATGTTTGTTGGAACTCTGTCAAACTATAAAGATCAGTTGGAAAAGGTTCTTCAGATCGGCTTTTAGCACACAAAAAACCTAAGCGAAGACAAAAAACAAAAGGTGCCATTCTAAGAGTACTGGCAGTTGCTGAAAGGCTTTAAGCTAGTACAATACCAATTCCAACAATTGAACAAACCATGTTTTCCCAGCTTAAAATTTAATCAGTACACACTCCATAGCTTTAGTGTAAAACGCCATGAATAATCCGAGAAATCCATGACCTTGAGCAGTGCAATAATATAAATATTGACAGGATGTAAAACCAAAAGTGTTCATAGCTGTATAGCGAAACATATTTATTAAAGACATAGTGTATAGAAACATGTTTATTGTTGACGACTTGTATATGTACCATTTGTTGACCTCTAACTGTCTTTTAGTTTTAGGCATGTCTACATTAAAAATACATCATTTGAATTACCTCCCTTACACTGCTTTTAAATTATGTATAAAGTAATGGTTAATGAACAATTAAGACAATTTAAAAGCAGTGTAAGGGTGGTAATCCAAATACAACGTTTTGATTACCTCCCTTACACTGCTTTAAAATTATGTTTAAAGAAATGCATATTTATAAAGGAAGACCAGTAAAAATATCTGCAAATGTTGCATCTTTTTTTTTACAAAAAAATCCATTTGACACCATATTTTAAATTCTATTATAAAATAGATTAAGGTAGCACTATGGTAAATTTAAATGGGTAATTATGGTTGCAAACTCCATTGGAAATTAGAATTGAGATTATGACCATATCTTGAGGGAAAGAATTTTTTGGGGGAAAAAAGGGGGGGGGGGGGGTAAAAAGAAATTGTGGGGGGTCAATTTTTTCTCATTTCAGAATTCAGAAATTAAAAAAGAAAAATTCTTCAAATACTATTTTTTTTGCAAAAAAAAAGTGGGGGGGGGGGGGGGAGGATGGGGGTTAATACGCAACAGCATAGTGTATTGCACAAAAGCAAAAAAAAAAAGGGGGGTAATTTTTTTTATTTTTAATTGTGGGGGGAGGGGGGTCAATTCGCAACAGCAAAGTGTATTGCACAAAAGCAAAAAATTGAATATAAATTCAAATCATATAACCAATTCTAAGTTCTTTGACTACAGTCATTCTGTGTCAGAAACCTTTTATGTGTCAAATATTTAATTACAATCCAAATTCAGACCTGTATCAAGCGCGAATATTGCGTCCATTTTTTGCCCCAACTGTTCAGGGTTGGACCTCTGCGGTCGTATCCAGCTGCGCCCGGCGAAGCAATTTATCTAGAATTAGGCCACCCTTCAAAAATCCTGGATCTGCCCTTGTAAACTAGTATAATATTATAAGTAGCATGCACTTTACGCTATTTACAGTAACAACGAGGCAAAAGATACAATATGGTTGGTCAAATTAATAAGTTCTATTAGATCATGTTTGGTTTCCACAATGCCATGACTTTTCTGAAATTATTTAAGTACCTGTAGTAAATTCTATAGTGTAAAAAATCTCAGACACTTAGATGTCGACAAATAGAATTTCGACTGAAATTTTCAGTTTTCTCAAGTACTGGCACGAATGAAAACAAACTGGGTTGATATTCTGTTCACAGTAATTATACCCCACGCTACGAATTATAAGAGGGTATATAGCGTCAGTGATGCCAACTCCCAATACTCAATATCGGATTGCAACCCACCATATTGGGATATATGGTCACATACGATGAGAGGAAGATCTCTATTGATTTAAATGTGACTTTGTACGATCTCAGAAAATGAACTGCGTCAGTTTGTTTTAGAATGCCCTCTTTACAGTTCACCAAGATTAGAATTCTTAGAAAATTTATTTAAAAAGTTTCCAAACCTGAGGAACATCAATCTAGAAAATCTTTTTATCTGGATCATGACAAATGAAGATTTAGATTATAATACAGTAGTTAGTATATTTTCCAGATGAGACACGGAAAAAAGAGACGTTAGTTAAGGTGAACAAATGAAGTTATCCCTCTTTGTACTGTATCGCTACTCATACATATTATTTATAATCATTGTATATGTTTGTGTGGATATTAAATATCCACACAAACATATACAATGATTATATGAAATTTGTGATTTGCATTCCATATGGGCCCTTTAATTAGGAATAAAGAAATTTCATTTGATTTGATTTTGATATAAGAATAAAAAATGCCATACTATCTAGGTCTATCTATAGCATAAGGAAAACCAAAATCAGTGACCGTCTATGAATAGACAAAGGAATTACCACACACTAACTTTATATTAATGTTCCGCATTGTCGATGAGATTGATGGTAAGTTTCATTTTTCTCCACAAACTGATTTTATTCCTTATGTATTCAGTGCAATCGCTTGACATTAATCTGAACACAACACGATATCAATTTAGTCCACGGCCTCGTGGGCAACTTAGTATTTTCTTTTTTTTTTTTTTTTGTTTTCTGATAATTTCTGTTTTACTCATTTTGCTATTTTTAATTTTTTATTCAATTTTTGCTGTTTTTACATAAATGTGCCGCCCAAGCATTGCTAAATAGCGAAAAAAGAAAATATCAGCATAAAAATATTAAAAATAGAATAAGAATGGGAAGTAATTTTTGAAAACCATATAAATTTCATGTACATTCACTGCGCGTATACTGTGCTCATCCATAGCCTATGAGTGGCCGTTCATGTCAAAATAGTGATGGTTCAATCTAGATGCTCATTGAAAGCACACAGATGAATTCAATAAGTATCTAGCTACTTCGCAAACGTATCTAGAGATTTTGTATAACCATCTAAATGTGTCAATAAAAGCATTCGAGCTCATCCATGGCCCAAACAGCAAGTCCGATGTTTCGGTCGTGTTTTGTGACCGAAAATTTAAGAGTCCGTCTTCATTAGTGGTCGACTCACGAGTAGTTTGTATTTAAGGTTTATTCAATCATGTTGATACATGTATCATGTTAATTGTATTATTGGACCATTCACCGGTCGTCAGTTGTTAATTCCAGTATGATATTTAATATTGCATTTTTGTGTTTCACATATTAATTATTTTCAGGTCTTAACTAGATAATAGTTCTGTTTATTCACGTGTCTTTCATAAGCAATAATTGGTTTCCTTTGAAATAGATTTGTGCATTTAAGGTTTTGTGATGTTAAACATCAGTGTTTACTTATTTTGTTTTAAGGTTTTCACGGTAAGGAAGGATTATACTTCGTTATCATTATTAAGGTTGTTCCTGATGTTTTCAATTAAGTAAGTGAATTCTGTTTGTACGTTTGGTATTTTCAAACACTTCGTCTATTTCGTCTCATTTTAAGAGACATTTTTTATTAGATACTCTAGCTGTTTTTGTAATTCCATTTTACTGCTTGTGTTTCTAATGTATCGCAATATCTCGCCTTTAATAATCCCGTTAATTACATTTTTTTTATATGAGCTTTTTCTGTGAAGATATTGAAAAGTTTCTGTAGGTTTGATTTTTGTCGAGCCGCGAAGGCGAGCCATAGCGATCCTAGATTCCTTCGGCGTCGGCGGCAGCGTCAACGTTAAGGTTGCCTGTGGTTAAAGTTTTTGTAGACATCAATAACTTTGTCAAACCTTCATGGAATTTATGACCAACAGTATCCAGAGCAAAATTTTTATAAATATTTATTTTCATTTTCCCGTATTTTACTTCTGAATGGACGTAGTTTTTTTTCAGTTAACACTCAAACTGAGTCTGAGGTTAAAGTTTTTTAATCATCAATAACTTAGTCAAACCTTCATGGAATTTTATGAAATTAAGGACAGAAGCTTGTTAATAACCAAAAATACAGTATCCATGCAGAGCAACATTTTGAAAATATTTATTTTCATTTTTCTGTAATTTACTAAAAAAAAATTGACCTTTTTTTACAGCTAACAAGTAGATACAGTCTTGGGGTAAAGTTTTTTACACACCAATTACGTTGTCAAACCTTCATGTAATTTAATGAAACTTTAAATATCTGAAGCAAACTTTTGAAAATATATTGTTTTCATTTTAAGTATTTTTCTGAAAGTTGGACTTAGTTTTTTACAGTTAACATTTACAGACAGTCTGAGATTAATTTATTTTGATATGATAAATTTATAAGCCTTCATGAATTGTTATGAAACTTGTACAGAACCTAACCTTGAAGACCAAGAAATAGCATATAAAGAAAAAGTTTGAATTTCTTTTTAAATTCTGTATTTTACTGATAAATGGACTCACTTTTTAAGCCGGTCAACATCATACTTTTACACCGACAGCAGAAACGCAGGCGAGACACAGGGTTCCGCGGAACCCCTTACGAATTTTTATATCTAAAAACATTCTTTTTGGAAGCGTTCGCCTTTGTAATCGACTATGTTGAGAAAGTTAAATTCATTTTGAGAAACTCCGTATGTAAACTTTGGGTGGGTATGTATTGTATAAGCTAAGGTGAACAGTTCGTGTATTTCGTCAGCTGAACATGAATATACCATCCACCCATGAACACATGACTATTATGTTTCGATGTGTAAAGCTTTATAAAATATTTTTCAGTTTTTCGTACATTCGCATGTCTGCCAATTCCACCGAAGACAACAGAAATCCCAACGAAGCGTTTGACGGAAAGGTTTATTATCAAAAGTAAATATGTTATTTTGTAGAATATTTTCTAAAAGTTTCATTATTTAGTCTGTTGGTAGTACCTTTCGTGTGTTGCTCCTGGCAAGTAAACATTCAATAATGTCACAGTAGAGTAAAAAAGGAAAAGATTGTGGATACATGTATAGACATTGTACATGCATGGTAATCAGTGACACAGGCATTTCACAATGGTCAACCAAATCATGATGGCGTCTGTAAAACCTTTGAAGGAAAGTATATCTATGATCCTCATTGAGAGTCGAATGTCGAATTTCGAAAGTCGCAAAATGGGTATTAGATACACGATACAGACTCATTAAAACCTCTAGGTTGTTCACACAAACAATGTTGGATACAATGAAACATTAAAAAATGTGGATATCCTTGCCGATGTCATAATCATACAAACATTAAATACATTGTACAATAAAACCAAAATAGACAGTGTCCTTTTGCTGTCTTGTTATGCTGTGCAAGTTTCATTTCTAATCATAAAATATCAATTAATATTTTGTAGGTGAAGTTTTCCTTTAAATATGAAACTAAGTCAACAGCTCGTTATTATCATTTTCCTGGGAAAACTTTTCTTTTGTATATCGGAAAGTAAGTTACCGACAACTAGATGCTTACGTGTAAGCCAAGAATTACTTATATTTCTTAGTTATTTTGGTCATAAGAATAATTTTTGTATTTGCAAATGTACGTGAATACCATTTACAAACGTGTTTTTGTCTGGATCAATGTCATACTTTTGTGGATCATGTTTACTTTCAAATAGCCATTGCCCATACATAGGCACAGGGAAGAAGTAGAATAGTTGTCGTATTGGTTATCATACCACATATCCTTATTGTTATTAATTTGTATACATATATATACACATACATCATAGATAATTCATAAATTCAGTTAAGTGTTAGTCGGATAGTATGTCTCTGGTCGGACAGAAACCCTTCTTTATTTATTGAAGTTGTGAATAGAAATTTAAAAAGTTATGCATTAAGCTTTTGTTAAGTGATAGAGACAACTGTTTCTAATATATGTGGTGTAAAACTTCCAAAAGAATTGTTAACTTTCTAGAAGTAGAACTATTTACAGAAGCTTTACGATAAACATACATTTGTAAAAGAGAGACGGAAGATACCAAAGAGATATTCAAACTCATAAGTCACTGACAAACTGATAACACCATCGTAAACAACGAAAAAACGAAAAACTACCAAAAAAACAAACAATCGTACAAAAAACACAACATAGAAAACGAAAGACTGAGCAACACGAACCCTACCAAAAAATCTGGGATGGTCTCAAGTGCCCCGGAAGGGTAAGCAGATTCTGCTCCACACGTGTCACCCAACGTGTTGCTGATGTAAGTACAGACTCGGTTATAAGTCACATTCGATGATGTCACATTCGAGAAGATTGTGGTTATGACGATGTGAAACAGGTATTGCATAACGTCGTAAAATTTTCGAAAGGATGAATTTAACTCCACCATTTGGAACCCTTGGTTTAATAGTTTCCTTGTAAGCAGCAACCGTCTATCAAGGAAATCATGATAGGAATTGGGACACATTCTCCATTTAATTTTTCAATAAGATTACGATGCTTTTTTTTAGCAGATTTTTTTCTCCTCGGCACTAACATTTGCAGTAAGAAGAAAGACAGTCGCGAACAATTCACTTCGATCTGATTACATTACAGATCCTGCATGTGTCCACGCTTTGTTTACAAATTTTGTAAGCGAAGCCTGGCTACATGGTTTGTATTTCAATCAGATTGAATTTATTTCAGAAGATGGACGATATTTAGACCCCTTTGCATATGCAAATCAATAAATCGCAGTCTTGGACATTACTAAGACCTATAATTCAACGTCATGGCCACATGTGTAATATCTTCACCCCATGCAATTTTTCACTGTTTGTAAGTGTCTGATTTAATATGTTATTCAGTCTGACAGGCAAACGATTTTGAACATTGCGATCACTCTTCATGTTCGAACTCTTTATACATTTTATGATTTTAACAAATAAAAAAACATGGCATTCCACACAAAAAATATGAATTTGGTTTCGTTTTGGTATGTTTAGCAGATTAAATGAGTTCTTCTTAAGTATATTAGAAATATGTTGTTTTTATTTTTTTAACTTCAGTAAATTGGATTGTTCAACAAAAGGTTAACAATTATGGACAAAATCTTAAACTATTCTGTAAAGCTGACAATTGTTGTGTTGCAAATATGACAAAACGATGGTTTGGAGGTCCTCAACAGAAACCTTTATGGTTATCGTCACCGAAAGATTCCGGCGCGAAATCTGAAAACGCGAAATATATTTTCACAATAGAGACGAATGGCTTTGGACTTGTTATAAAAAATGTAACTGTTGAGGACATGAATGTCACTTACAAATGTTCCTACAATTTTGAAGAGGACAGTAATATGTTGTATTCTTCAGATGCTTTCAGTGGTATGTATACAATACTATATGAATAAATTTGTTTGTATAGTCTACCTGATCCTACATTGATAGGAACATCATGCATTAAAGTATTAATTATAAGAACGAAGCATTTATACCAATAAGTACTTCCCTTGCGCGGCGGTTCTCTTCGGGCCGTCCGGCTTTCTCCAAAAAGAAAATATGGCCACCATGATATAGCCAATGAAGCTGAAGTAGCGTTAAACACTTACTAACACACAAACAAATATCCCTGCAGCTTTCAAAAGAACTATTTTTTCATTTGCCATTTTTGGGCCTTTCATAGCTTACTATGCAGTATGGGTTTTGCTCATTGTTGAAGGCAGTACTATGACATATAGTTATTATAACCTCTATGTCATTGGGTCTGTGGTGGAGAGTTGTCTCATTTGCAGCCATACCACATCTTCTTGTTTTGATATCAAATGATATTTCCATTTCAATGAGAAACAAAAAATAGTATTAAAGACGATTTTATAAATTGGCATCTATTTTTTTTCTCGATATTTGAAAGCATTTCAGCAGTTGAAGTTAAGGATTCATTATTGTTACTGTATTTCATGAAAAAATATGCGAGTTATATAACATTTTATTTTTGACTTGTAGATAAACAGGAGGATAGCGAGAAAAATGTTAATGGACAAAATCCTGTAGAAAACAGTTTTAACTATATCCCAGTTATTGTGTATGTATAACGATTTGTCTTTTATATGCTTAAATGTAAATATGACAATACCTACTGGCTAATTAATCGATCATTGAAATGATATTAAAATATCTTCATGAAATTTTAGAAAAAACTTAGGCAAAAACTTTTTCAGAAAGTAGAGTATAGTCAACCAAATGTCTGAAGAGGAAAAAGGTACATTTATGTTTACGTTTAATGAGTATGACGTAAATACAATTATCCAATCTGATTAAAATTCAGACCTATATTAACTCGCGTGCTCGTACTCATATGAGTATAACGAAATCAGAGAACTATATTTTAATTAGATTGTGAAATTATCGGACAGGGGGGTTAATGATTTATATGTACTAAGAAATAGACTAGCTGACAAGAAAAACTAGAATTATGTAATACAAATTTGTGATTATTTCTATTCAATTTTTTTTTATTGTTACATATATATTTGTTTTGTTATATTTTATGACAATATCATTAAGAATATTGTACTTTTACTTTCAAATTTGCAAAAGTATTACCTCCTCCAAAATATGATACACTTATATAAGATGAATGTTACTTAACTTTGAATATTGTATGTTTGTAAATATTGTCATGTTTGTCTTGGAGACAACCCAATAGTTAGATTTTCACCAATAAAATGATTTTATTCTATTTGATTTAATAGCGAATAATTTTTGTTTAACTGCACGAAAATGCATTTTCTTTTTACATTAAAAAAGATCAATCTCTTCAAATGTTTGTAATTTCGTGACAGATTGTTGAATTAAGAGCGGGGGTGGGGGTGGGGAGACGATATAAAAAGTCAAACGCTTATACTCTAAACATTTTATTTTCGAATTTTATAAATGTTTGAATATTTTTTCAGGGCATGTGTTGTTGCACTTCTCCTCACTTGCATATGTACAATTGTACTCTGCAAATATGCCAAGTTGAATTCTTTACTTTATTCATGTAAACAGAGAAGGAAGAATAGAAAAGCGGGAGATGGTATGATATCTTATACTTCATGCGTGAATAAACTTTAAAACAGTTTTGTAATATTATTATTGCAACTTTTGAAAGTTTATTTTAATATAAACATTGTGTAAAACTCCACTGTAGAAGTGAGTTTATTGATAAGTGAACTGAGTAAAAATAAAAACATGACTTTTTTTTTGGTAAGATTAGAACATGTTAAATTCTTTAACTATAAAGACAACTAAAGTTGTTTAACACCGCCACATTCTGTATATGTCTTTCCTAAGTCAGGACCCTGTAATTTGTAATTCAGTGGTTGTACTTTGTTGCTGTATATCATATTTGTTTTTTGATGATTGTTTTGTACATAAATCAGACCCGACCGTCCGTCCGTAAGTGCATCTGTCTGTCTGGTCTTGTTAGCGCTCTCTCGTGTACAATTCTTACCAGATTTTACAAAACTTATAACATAGATATATATCAGCAATGTCTCGGACAAGTTCGAAAATCAGTGCCGAACATTTTTTTTAAAAGAGTTATGCCCTTTGGTGATATTAATAAAATGGAAAATTGCATTGTAAGCGCTCTCACATGTACAATTTTTTTGACAGATTTTTTTTCAAATCTACACCAAAGGTTTATATCAGCAATGTCTTGGACAAGTTTGAAAATAAGTGCCGATCAACTTTTTTAAAAGAGTTATGCCCTTTGCATTGCATTTGCTCTCAAGCCTTTATTTCTCTGAGATATTTAAAGATAATATTAAAAAACAAAAAATAGGTTTTGTCAGGCACCATCATCAATTACTCAATTATTTGCAGATGTTGAGAACGCGCAAGAACTCAAAAATTTGACATCAGAAGATAAGGAAAAGATGCAACAATCAAATGAAAACAGTTTACAGGAAAAGGGTATGTGTATACACATGATGCTAAGATACCACTATTACCAGACTACCAATTTCATTTAATACGACTACAACAATGCGCGGTGTTCCCTTTTAGGCATACACATTGTGTACTACTAGTAAAATGTGTTTACTTAGTTATACCGTTTGAAATATTAGTTTCATCGGAATGTACATGTACAAGTTTAAACTGAACGTCTATTAAGCAACGATCAATAAAGAGTGTTAGAAGATATGAAATTGTCCACACTACGTGAAATTAGCATAATACTTAGTATGACCATGGAAGTATTATATTGACATTACTTCCATGGAAAGACAGACAACACCATAGCAAATAGAAAAAGAAGACGAATAATATTACAAAAACAAAACACGAAAGATTGAGAGCTATCCCTTGAATACGAATCTGAGAGAAAAAATATAAAACACTGCAAAATTGATAACAGTGTTAGTTCTAATTAAAGTGATACGTAATATTACTAATTTGTGTGAAATTTTGGAGAAACAAATGGCAGATAACTCCTGCTAGCAACAATTTTGGACAAAACATTACAAAGTTGTTAAAAATACATATTAAAAAATTCCTTGATCGATGAAAATATAGAAAAACATAATTTTGTGATTCTTCATCCTTAAATTATTTATTGTTTCTCAACAGTATTTGAAATTTTTGATAAGGTTGTGCTGCAATAATGATCAAATTATATATTCTAAATTCTTGTTTTTAGATTGGTTTTGCATTTAATAAACTGATGCAAATACGCGCTTAGTTGAAGACTTCTAAAGAAATATGAAAAGATAAATTTTATGGTGGTTTAACGGAAAATAATTTCTATATATCCTATTTGATAAAAGAAGATATTCAAACACATTGATTTATTCAAACAGTATAACAAGCCACCAATGAAAAACCCAGTTCATATGTAGATGGGCAGACAAAGCCATTTTTTAAAAAAGAAACGAGATATGTCGGTACGCCTTCCAACTTAACGAAGAAAAGATCGGCCAACCTTAAGAAACCCAATATCGACGTTTATTTCATAATCATACACCAATGTAGATCAATATACTAATAATCAGCTCCATAGTAGAAGAAATAACAAATAATTTCCGGACGATTAATTCAGTACATGGGTTCAAAAGGAGAGGGCGTGTGTGTAATTCTGCAATAACATAGTCAACATGAATGAACCTATTGAGAAAATACTTATCATTCAGATTAGTTTCTGTAGGCATAAAAAAAAGTTGTCCGGAAAACTGTTTGATTTCAGAATGACGGAGAAAGGACGTAATGAAAGAATAACGGAGGGACGTACATGGGTCAAACTATACGCCCTGGTGGGGGCATTGTGGCACCGTTAAAGTCCCCAATTCCTCTAAAGTCCACAACACCGCTAAAGTCCACAACAATGTTCCGCTAAAAACCACAACGCCGCTTAAGTCCACAAGCTTTCCGCTAAAGTCCAGTTTGATAAATGAAAAAAAGTACAGTATCTGTAGAAGATTTTGTTCCATTAATTTAATCTTTGTATTATGATGATCCGATCAATGAATCAAACAGGTCAATTTGGACATTATTTCTAAAAAGTTATCTAGTCATAGTAAATTCGTTAGTTATTACATAATTACTGCATTCTTCAAGTACGGTTTTTTTTTCTTATTCTTTGTATATAATCACTTTTTTACGTCACTATAAATGTACAGAGCAAAAGTCTCGGGACATGTTATTAATAATGTTTTTTTTTTATGTTGATGTTTAAAAACATGAGCACCGACAAGAAATTCGACATATAATTCGATTTTGCTAGTTTTAATTAAATTGTTACTAAACATAAGCACATGGACATGGGGGTCATAATAATGTATCCTGCACTCCCCTCCAGCTATTTTTTTCAACTTTTATATAGTTTGCCGATATAAAAATAGCTGGATAGTAAAACAGCACAAATAAGTAAAAATATCAGTATAGATGACTAGGAATAGATAGGTAAACGTTATTTGTATAAATGGCTTGAAATCAGAACTTTGACAAAATATTGCCTCGTAAAAAAGGGGGAGGACAGGGTACATCATCATGACCCCATGTACCTGTGTAAATAAGAATATGTGGTATGAGTGCCAATGAGACCACTCTCCATCCAATATTTTTGTATTGATAATTGCTATCGGATTAACGTATTTAAGAACCTACATTGTATACATAATTATTATAACAAGACTGGACACACTTAAATGTCTTCCCTGTTTAAGTGTTTATAATTGAGAAATTATTTGAAAGTGAACAATTTTTTTTACAACAAGCAATACATTAAATTATCAATTCAATGATCAATGGGTGGGATAAATCTTTTCAGACAGACACGGAGGCCGTATAAATTCATCTCATGATATACCAAATTAAGTTAACTATCGCTTTAAGTATCTCGGAAGCAAACATCATCAAGAAATAAGAACTTTGACTAATGAACCATTAAATTAGGTCAAGGAAATATGACACAGACCAGACAGACAGTCATGTACACCTTAATACACAAGCTGTATACATGCCTTTAATATCAATTATAATATCTGAGAAACTGTCAAAACTATATATTACGCATTTCAGTTTAATTCTATCAGTCTTCTCACAAGTAAACAGCTGGCTTGACGGTTTTTGTAGTAAAGTTCCTAAATTTTGTAAAAACTTATCTTCCAACTTTATTTGTATTTCAAATAACTTCAATTTCAGTGAACATTTTAACTCATTTTCATACTTAATACAGGGGATTAACTGATAAAGTTACAATGTAGCGTGACTTTTTTATTTAGATAAAGTTTTTATTTCATTTTTTAATTTTTGATTTGACAATTTTTTTTAAATTAGGCAGACGGCACGCGTACGGTCCGACCGTATACGTATTTTGAATAAGTTCGTCTTCGGTCCAGACCATATATGCGTATGGTCTAAATGCGCATATGGTCTGGAACATCCGTACATTGGATTTGATGTGATTAAAGTGATTACAATTTGATATAATTAGTAGGTGAACTACTAAAAAAATGTAAAAAACAATAACATTATAAAGTTATGCTGATTTTACAAAAAGAGGAAGAAGTTATATTTTCATTTATTTAATGCAGAATGCCTGTCTATCAGTTACTTGCTAGTTATTATAAAAGACAGTGTTAGATTTATAACTCGAATGAAATAGTTAGATAAGAACTCTGAGTATTTTGTACATTTAATCTAGTTTTGAATTTACCTTGTTCACCAATAAAGAAGTACATGATTGTTTTTCTGAGAATGTGTACGGTACAGGGTCCTAAATATTTAAATTTCGGTATAAGATTATGAGTAAAGGGTTATATCGAAGCCATTATTGTACGTTTGAAAGTCAAGTCAAGTACATGACCCTGTTGGTCATGTAAGCTATGTAAGATGTTAGATTTTCCTACGAAGCTTCAGTAGAATGGATGTGAAGATTTTAGTTTAAAGAAATGCATGTCCATGGGGACCGAGCACTCGAGGTCCAAAGTTTAGAATACGCTTCAATAGAAAAAGCTTAAACTATGTGTTCCTTAAAACCAACAATGATCATATTTAGGTCAAGTGAACGAAACAAGCTTAAGATCACATGATACTCTAGTTTTAATAATAATAGTATATGTTGTACAGAATTTCCTGTTGTTTATTTAATTTGAATGTTCTTTCTATACTTCATTATTATCAATTCTCATAAAACTAAAAAACGAAAGAAATGTTGATCGCCTTTCCTTTTTTTTTTATACCAAACAAATCAAGTGAAAGAACTAAGACACAACAGCCACTTTGATTTGTTTAGTAATTCCCGGCAAACTTGAAATGAGAGTAATATTTTGATTTTGATGTTGTCAATTGGAAATGTTTGCCTACCAGGTCATTCGACCTATTAACTGATTAACCTGAGGTAAAGTGGGTGGTCAAAGGTCTTGTTTAAAGTAATCTGCAAGTTCATAGTATTAGAGTCTGATGATTTTCTCATCTAAATCTGAAACCTAGTTTATGCAAGTTCAGCTAATTTTATTTAGGAGTGTTTTGATCAAATTTGCATCTTCAAATTGTTTTACAGTGACCTATAACATATATGTTCCAGACCATATTAATATTTGGACCGTATGCGTACGGTATGGAGCGAATGCGTACTTTTTTCAAAATACGCATACGGTCGGACTGTACGCGTACGGTCTGCCTAATTTTGTGTATTAGATACAAATGTACATTACAGATCAACATAACTGAAATCTTAAATTAATACAAAAAGTTCAATTGCAATTGAAATAAAAACTTAAAATTTTAATTATTCAAAAAGTCATGTTCATTTGATATGGTAATCTTCTGTATTTAGCATGTCTGTAATACACGAAATTGAATTATGCTCGCTGAAATTGAAGTTATTGGAAGTAAATATAATGTGGGAAGAAAAGTTTTTAGAATATTTAGGAACTTGGAAAATGTAAATGGAAAGGAATATGCATGAACAAAACATGTAAATGTAAAAAATCTACTGTTCCTTGTGGACGAGAGTGCCAAAAAGAAAATAAATAATTCATTTCAATTGATTGAATGTTCGCTTATTCTCTTTATTGATGTAATTGTAACAATATTAGTTTAAGATTTTAACAAATGCGTGTATTTAAGAATTGAATGCTTCTTTTTGTAAATTAATTGGGGTGTAAAAGCGTTGACCGAAGTACATTTTGTATGAAGCGCAGAAGCGCTTCATTCTAAAAATGTGCGCAAATCTTTTATACTTGTACTCATCATGGGTAAGACATAATACAGAACCGCATCTGCGTATAATCTATTCAATTCATCTTCAACGCATTCTGAAACAAATACATTTTCCTTTTTGAAAACCAAACAAACATGCAAACTAATGAGTGATTGTAAACTGCTTAGCACCACAAAATGCATGTATGGAATTCTTTTATTTATCATTATTTTGATTTCAAACAAGAACATTATGGTTTAAAGTCTATTTTTGAAATAAGGGACCGTTTTGGCTGCTGTGGAGCATAACAGAAACTGAATGGATTTCGTTCTTATGTTTTATAGATATTTGCAAAGATATTTGCAAACGAAATATCAATGTCAAATATATCCAAGATATGTCAGTGTGTATAAATGGTTACCAAAGAAAATACAAAAAGAGCACCATAGCTAGATAACTTTTCAGATATGCCTGTTTGATTCATAGAAAATCACAATACAAAGATCTTTTATGGGGATCAAACTCAGAATCTTTTCATTTATCAAAAATATAATTCAAGCGGATAAGAAATACTTTCCAAGAACAGAAGTCCATGCTTTTTATTAGATCTATACCATTTGGAATTTAAAATAAAGCGAATTGATTTTTTAATAATAAAAATAAAGTTGTGTGGACTTTAACGGTGTTATTTTGTGGACTTTAGCGGAACTTGTTATTGTGGACTTTAACGGTGTTTTTTGTGGACTTTAGCGGAGGTCATTTTGTGGACTTAAGCGGAAAGTTTGCGGACTTTAACGGCGTTGTGGACTTTAGCGGAAATTTGTTGTGAACTTTAGCGGTGTTGTGGACTTTAGAGGAATTGTGGACTTTAACGGTGCCACAGGGCATATAAAACGAAAAGGTAGACAACAGTAAAAAAAAACTAAAAATTGAATAAAGCAAACCTAAACAAATATAGGGGATGAGTTTAGGTGCTCTAAACGGATCACCCGTTCCTGTTCCGCTAGTGACATCAAACTTGAATTATGCATGACAAATAGAAAACCGCACATCTTTTGTCATTTTATTCCTTTGTTGAAACAACAAATCATAAAAAATTGTCTCCTTACCAATAAAGTGGTGTGTTACCAAGTAATTCATATTGCACCATAATTATTTTTATTTTTGTTCAAAGTTTTCTCAAGCTAGAATCTTTCTACAGAAATTTCCAAAACACATAGTTTTTAGTATATTGAACGAAGGGCTGATAAGATAAAGTTTGAACGATTGTTATTGTCTTTTTGTTTTATTTTCATTTTCAGGCATTGAGGCTAATGCTATTAACAAAGGAACAATGACTGATTTAAATGAAGGCGAAATCACGAATGATAGAGAGTGTACTGAAAAAAAGAGAAATTCAAAGAATGGTGACGTTAAAGAAGTCGTTGTTGAACAAATTGATGCTTCAAGAAAACCAAAGCCTAAATATCCTACCTTTAGTTCTGAAGAATTAAGAATAAAAACTTTCACCGGTTTTAACAATGAATTATCACCCAAAACATTGGCAAAAGCTGGATTCTTCTCTTATGGTAAATATTACTTTTACCTTTTGTAATTGTTTTAAACCAGTATAGGTAGTAATATTAGGGTGATAAATTCAAGTGATTCTTTGTAGTTTAATATATTTTTCAACACTTCTCTGACAGCTTTTACAATTTTTTGTTTTGTGATTTTGCCTATTATCTAAAAAACTTTATTCGATAGATAGAAACTTTAAAAAGCAAATATGATCAGCGAGACACGATCTGCAAATAGGTCAGCATACTTAGATGCAATTGTCAGTTGTCAGGATGTATTCATCTTAAATGACGATTTTTTTTACATTTTTCTGTAAACACAAGAAATTTTAGTTATGGATTATATTCTGGTCTACACTGTTGGAGAGTGTCCATTGTGTCCATTGCACATATACCTAGGTTAGCGACACATGCTCTAGCTTTAGAACATTAAGTTATAGATGATACATGTTGGTTGTATGGGGTGTTTTCCTAGTATAAAGGGCAAATGAGACCGACAATTACATGTTTGACATTGTTTATAGTATTTTTATTCTTCACCTAATTTGTAAGCTATTTTCATTGAGTAATCATGGGAAAACATTTATTTACAAATATCAACGAATTCATAGCTCTTACGGTCTTCCAAATATAAGGTGACATACAACTGAGATCATAACCATGTTATTAGGACTAATGTGTGGAAGGTATAATGCATTTTATACTGCACTCGTTCTATTTGAGCAGTCAAAATGCGTTGACCGTATATTTCTATGTCATATACAGTCACTGACCTGATATCACTTTTCCTCATGAATATTTAAATAGAAATTGCCAAAATTATATTTAATTATTCATACGACCTATTCAACCTGTTCTTGTTTCCAATGTATACAACGACTCAAACTTATTTCTTTTGCAATTTTTAGAAAAAAAAAACATATTTCACTTGTTAATATTTTTGGTTTGCAAACTATAAATCATTATGTTTTATGCTTATTGTTGATATTTTAGTTCATTCTCAAACAAATTCGTTCACCATCGATTGCGGGTTTCAACAGGTAATGTACATTTCATTGTGTTGTATATTTCTCCGCCTGCATGATATGAGGCCTTTTTATATAAGGGTGAAGTTTCCCAATATTTAAATCAAATAATAACATTAACACATTAAACAACAATTGAAAATGTTTTTATTTTAGATTGCAGTATAAAGACAATAATAGTGCATTGACTTGACATATCAACGATATAAGGATTCGGCCCGAAACGGGAAAAAAGCTCGGCAGAGCCTCGCATTTCCCCGTTTCTAAGCCTCATCCTTCTATCGTTGATATGTCAAGTCAATGCACTATTATTGTCTATATATTATCCATGTTAGTCATTGCGAAAAAAATGACCGATCACTAAAAGCGATTTGCTATTGAAATTTCTATTTAAAGTTTTTTCCCAATGAAACTACAAGCTAGATTCGACTGGTATACTACTAGGAATCATGATAACTGAGGGACCCTTCACAAAGATACTCTATTTCATACATGTTGTGCATGATGTTATGATGGCAAATATGTTTCCATTGAATCTGAAGGAAATCACGTTTTCTTCCATTTTTTCAAAAATGTTAATTCTTAACAAAATTTGGCGACAGTATTTTACATGTATTTCTTATCTTAGGGTACTCTCTTTATATTCCTTTCAGTCGGATATCTCGTCATTTATTGAAGTACTTATACATTTGCTTTCAACGTTTTGGGTTTTAGCGTTCCTGATGAATGTAAATCCGGAAAAACGCCTCGGACGCATTTTTCGTTACCAATCCGAACCAGTTCGAATCTTTTTTTCGTTTCATCTAGTGCAAATGATTGCGTGTCTATCTGAGGCAAATCATATTTCAACTTTTAATGTGTATACATACATATTTGTATTATTCATTAGTGTCCAAGAAAAAGGATATTTTTTCCTTACAGGAAAAGGCAATTTTGTTCGTTGTTTCCACTGTGGTGGTGCATTGAAAGATTGGAAGTCAGGGGACGATCCTTGGAATGAACATGCTAAATGGTTTCCACAGTGCGGTTTTGTTAAAGATAATTATAATGGAATTGTTCCAACGCCACATTAAGACAGCTCCCAAGTATAATTTTATTGCATTATAACGACGATTGTTCCAGTACAATTTTATTACATTGTGACGACGATTGCCAAAGTATAATTTTATTGCATTGTAAGGACGATTGCCTAAGTATAATTCTATTGCAATTTAGAACGATGAGCCCTAATAACATGCCAATCAATGATAAAAAAAGAATAGCTAATTTGATTAGTATTAAGGGGTAGACTTTTTGATTTTTTTTAGGAGGGAATCATGAGGATGAATTTAGAAATGAGTATGTTGGCCTGGTAAGAACAGAAAGTATGACAGTATGAAAATGAATATTCTGTCACACAAAATGCAGGAAATAATTTTGTACAAAATTGAAAAATGTAATGATTAAGTCATAAACCAGCCTGGCAATAGATGAACATATATAGTCCGTCCGCAAAAAATTGTCTTCCCCTCCAAAAAAATCAAAATGTCGTCCCCAAGTCAGTTGTCTATACCGGTTTGTTTTTAGTAAATTAGAAATAATAACTGATTCAACTGAGTGAAATTACGTATTTAGGTCAAAATTATTATCTAGCCTGCGTATGTAGCAGAATTCGATGAAATTACGAGACATAGAAATCCGGCAGTGGTAGTGGCAACAGCTACTGGTTAAATATTTGTATGAAGCTTTTAAATATCTCAGACGACAGAAGGACTTGATAATCAACGTCCTAATATCTTGTATTCAGATGCCGTATGGTCTAGTTTCCGTCTGGAATACGCCGGTTGTCAGTGACCGTTCATTTTCATGCATTATTAAGTGTTATGGTTTCTCCCTATATTTTTGGTAGGATTGTTTGATATCATTTGTAGTTACTTAACAATACTGTATCGTCATTCATTTTTATTTGTTGTCTATTTTTGTATAATTATGGGACTTGTGAATATTTTGGGCATATTTTAACATTATGACACCTTATATTAATGCTATTCCTCTGAGACGATATGTTCATACTCAAGGAGATTGTTTATCACTGTATGTATTTAAAAATACTATATTGCCATAATGTGTTGTCAACTTTAGCGAACGTTATTGAACTTTGGCGATTTTTAAGTTATCCAAGCATTAGGACAATACATATCCTCTATGGACGATTCTCTTTAAGAACCATTTATCCCCAACCTGTTCGTACTTGGTGGGATTGTGTGTAATTATGTCAAGTAAAGACAGTAGGATATTGTTAAGAAAAAATGTGATGCTAAGTAGTTCCACAACAGGTTTTTTGTACAAATATTTCTTTATAAACATATTTATGTAAACCAATTCCTGAAATTTACAAAAATGTATTTTAAAAATGACATTGTCCTTATGTAATCTAGCTTTAAAAAAGGACAGGTACTCCAATGTTAAAAGAAATTCTAGAACTTGTGCATTGTGTGTATTAATGATATAGAACTTGCATTTTATTTTATTAAGTCCAATATATTCAACATGTGAATGTTTGATTAAATCATTCTATTTGCGTAAGCAATCTGTTTATAAATATTTTTCAATTATTTTAAGCCCTACAAATGTTAAAGACTTGAGCAACTAAGGGAAATTCGTATTCCGGGCACTGAAATGACTGTGATAAAAGCAGGTCTAATAACCGCTCGAAACCGTCCATCCATGCATCAGTCAGTCCGAAAGGCCTTTGGACTTCTATGAAAGGGAATGTTTATATATTTGGTCTACAGCTTGACAATGTTGAGTTGTAGCGTGTAATTGATTTATGCATTCCCCGTTTCCATTCTCAAATTTATAGATTTGCAGTGCAGCTACTTTCTATTTGTCTATAGTTTGAGATTTTACAACACTCATTGTACAAGAAAAGAATAATATTTTCATCCCTTAACATAACATCAACGGAAGTAGTTTATAATGTCCAATTGAACATAGTTTTGGAAATCATCTTCATCAGTTATGCTAATGTATAAATTTAACCTCAATCTATTACCCCAGACCCAGTATTGGTCTTGTTGATTTTAGAACTTGCGTTACTTTGAGTTGATTTGTCTTTCACTCTGAGGTATTTCATTTGTTAAATATCTTTTCTATTTGGTTGGAATCGTGTTTAATTGCATTTTTATTTGCTAATTCTGATTGTTTTGTCTTTTACTTATGTAATAGTAAGTATACATATATGTTATCAATCATTTGATAAATAAAGAATTGCATTGAATTGTGTTGATGGCCATTTCGTACCGCAATTTTGATATGATAATTGGTTCCTGTTATGGGATGTTAACCCTGTGTGGCCTTAACCAAGTATTTGTACAGTAAGTCTTTCTATACAAGTCCTTGCTTAAATGCATAAGGACGCCGTGAAAGCTACTCCTGTGTCTATATTTTCAAAGTTTATATCCTGAGTGAATATTTAATGTGTACATGTAGGTGACCTCAATCTACCACATTTTGATTTGAAAGTTTTTGCTGGCGTTATTGGACTTTTACCGTTTTTAGCCTTTGGTAATATGATACACTGGGGCGTTAACTTCTGAAATTGACTAAATCTGACAACTATTTTCAATCATTGTTATGTCACATGAAAATCTATTATTTTCAAAATGACGATATTAGTGTTCCCTAAGTGACAGCTAAGAATAAGGCAGGTCCGCCGATTTTGAGTGTATTGGTGGTCCTGACGTCCAGCTAAAAGTTTGGGGTTGTTTTTCTCTTATGTTAGGCTATCTAGTATTTTATTACACAAAGTAGCTCCTCCTTACAATCTATATCCATAGTTATTGTGCAAGTTGGCCTAATTTTATTATACCTTCATGTATGAAAATAATTGAAAACAAAACTTTTCTGCTTATCCAGGTCAACCAATTTTTTACGGGGACCACCACATTTGTAGTCTTGTTGGTCCTAATAACCACCAGACTAAAAATTATTTCGAGAATTTTGCCGTATTTCCCAAAAAAAGTAACACATAACAAAGTAACACTTACAGGAGCTACAAACTTGGATGATAATGTTATTGTGTGTAACCAATCAGCTCTACAATGCATTGTAGGGGTCGAAGACATGTCACTAGGGTGTAGAAATCGAGTCACAATAGTTCTGAATTAATACAATGATGAGTTAAAAGAGACTAGGAAGAACAATGTAACAGCTTTCGCATACTTCAAAGCAATTACTGATTATGCCTCGATCACACGTACATTTAATTCGAATTGAATTCGACTCGAATGTGAATCGAATTCGCTATTCGCGTTCACACATTCTTCTTTTTTTAATTCGAATCGAATTCGAATAAGCTAATTCGCATTATCCAATTCGCATTAGAAATGCGTTTTTTCGTTAATGCGAATTAGTTACTTCGCTTTAATTCGAATTAAACGGTGGTGTGGACACTTTCTAAATTGTAATTAAAAGTAAATTATAATTATTTAATTGATAATGCAAATTAAAAGTTAATGTCGTTCAGACAGTCAAGCGAATTTGACGCGCATTGCAATTCGTATTAAAATTTACGTTCGGACGTAAAACGTTTCGATGCGAGTTAAACTATGAACACAGCATAAGAATTGAACGTAGAACTGATTATAAATATTTTAAAGAAGTGTGTTTGAGCTAACATAGCGATAGGGGGGGTTCCGATTTTTTCATCATCAATTTTACTCTTTACAGTCAAATTTGATTTTGAATAATAAAAGAATGTTTTATAAAATTGGATTTTAAAAGTTTTTCTCTTGAGTGTACCACATGAAGGTTGTTCCAGGAACACATATCGTACTACACACTGAAATCGGTATCGCATCGCTGGACTGTACCACAACCAACGGAATGAATGGAAAACAACTGTGATATTCCTGACTTGGTACAGGCATTTTCCGAAGAAAATGGTGGATTATACTTAGCTAAACCTCCTACTTGTTTTACAGATATTTATAGTTCCGTTTTAATGACAAAATTGGGTAAGCAACCAACCAGTAGAACCAACAGCCTGATAATGATAGAGCAATAAAATAAAGGCCAATATGACATACAACAACCAACGATTACACTGAATTACTGGATCCTGACAGAGAATGTAGAAAAATGAATGTATGGGACACTTCTATCCTATTGGATATTGGGATAAATTAGCATTAATAAGCTATACATCCATTTACAGTAACAAGAAGTGGTCTGGGTTAATGAGATAACTTATAATTGCTTACATCTATGATGTTAAGTCTCGCGTTGTCTTATCGACAATCATCCGTATTTTTATACTCTTGTCTATTTCACAGAAAAATGTTTTTTTTTCTTTTTGTTATACAGAAGAAAATCGTCGTACAGGAGCAGCTAACAAATTCCTTACCCCATCCTTTTCATATATTTTGAACCATACCCTATCATATAATTTATTTACATAAAAATAGACTTTTAGTTATATTACGCTATTTAAAGGACAATAAAAGCAGGTCTATCAAATTGCTGATGCATTTAAGATTTATCTTTAAAAATACATTTTTTGGTATACATTTCAGATACTTATAATCAGATGATATACTAATAGTAATCAACATTCTTATCACAATATTAATCTTTTCTAAACCTTATCATTTATAATGAAGCTTGAAAAAGTGCCCTATGCCAGCGGCACATCCCTACCACTCCACATTGTTAGTGGCTGCCAAAGAACTGCCATCGCATGTTTATGAACGTCAATATGTTAAAAGCTTGACGTGTAATACTACGTATTATACAGATTGGAAGAAACGGTCTATTTGAAAGAAGTTTTATTTATATAAATTTTACATCAATTAAAATTACAAATACTGATCAATACATATTCTTTCAATGTCCTCTGCTGCTATCTGCTATTGCAATCTATGCATCTCGTATATTTTCTGCTGTCTGGATTAAGAACCAATTCTATTGGACTTGTAGAATAGAGAGACAAGATTCTTCACCACCAAATACATAAATGTGAAAATGTCTTGGTGTTAATGATATTGTGTCATTCACCTCCAATCTTTCAATAATTGATGTCGAGGTGGTTTGGTAATAGCCTGGCATAGACGAGAACGCATCCGCTATTATGAGGTTGTTCTTTAGGATATTGAAAGAATGTCTGGTGGTGTTTGTTTGAATGAATACGGTGATTAGATAAAACCCAGCTTTTTCGGCGGTAAATATTCCACCCTTTTCCAGTGATGTTGTGTTGCTAATGCCATGTACAGTTTTAATGTTTTTGAATGGTATTGCTTGTCCATGAGACACATTAGCATTCATTGAACATGCAGTTAAAACGGCTGAAATAACAAACGCACATTTGTTGACGTGTTGTTAAATGTAAAATATATGGCATGTTGAAGAAAGATTGAGAAAATATGATGTGGTGTATTACGTCAATGAGATATGCAAACCGAGCAACAACACATTATAACCAGAGAAGACTACAGGTCAACATACAGCCCTCAAAATTAGACTAGTGCTTTTATCATATGACAAGCTGTAAATAGTCCCGAGTCGAGACAAACTGCAATAACAATTCACAGAGAATATCAACGCCAGCACCCAATTCTTTTCTGGCCAAGGATCAGTTACCATTCATCGGTATTTCATTCAATGGCGACGGCATACATTAATTACCAAACTGTTGTGAACATCAGTCAAATGTATCGATTTTATTTGTAAAATTCAGCATAGTTTGCTTCGGTTAATCAGCTATTATAACGGGAGAGATTGTTCTTGATTTTCATATGACGATGACATACTCTTTAAATCAGTTTAATAGAGGTCTGGAGCTGGCATGTCAGTAACTGCTAGTAGTCTGTTAATTTAATGTTGATCATTGTCTTTTTGCTTAGTTTCTTCTGTTACCTATTCTAACATCGAACTCGGACTTCTTTTAACTGAGTTTTACTGTGCGTATTGCTGTGTGTTTGTTTATTTTACATTGGCTAAAGGTATAGGGAGAGGGTTGAGATCTCAAAAAACATGTTTAACCCCCCCGCCACATTTTTGCGCCTGTCCCAAGTCAGGAATCTCCGGCCTTGTTAATTTTGTATGGTTTTTTAATTTTTGTTCATGTATATGTTTCGTAGTTTAGTGTGACGTCCATTTTCTCTGAACAACACATTTTTGTTTAGGGCCAGCTAAAGCCCGCCTCCGGGTGCGGGATTTTCTCGCTGTGTTGAAGACCCATTGGTGGCCTTGAGTTTGGTGGAGTTGTTGTCTCTTTGACACATTCCACGTTTCCATTCTCAATTTTATTATGAAAAGAATACCTTTCTGATTTTATGGCGACTTAGAATTTGGAAAAAATTACAGTTTCAGACAAAACAATAGCTAATTTTGCCTTAAAAAGTAGTTTTTTTTTTACAACGATGTTAATGTAAATAACTATCATTTTGTGTAAAGTTGTTGCTTATATTAAATTTTAACTAAACATATATGGAAAAATTGGTTATTTTATATGACATGTATTACATGTGACATTTCTGCTCTTTTAAAAGTGAATATTTTATCAATAAAATTGATAGGATTTTTAAAGAATAGAAGAATTTAAGTATTTTTGTAATTTCAGGGGGAAAATAGTTGTTCTTTTCGTAAGTATTCACCCAATAATTCCAAAGACACCCCAGTTCAATACCTTTTTGTGTAGTTTGTTCCAATTTCAGAGTAATATTACTTTGGTTTGACTGTAAATTGAGTATTCTTTTATCAACTTTGTCGTCTGTTTCCTTTGCTAAAACAAATAATATATAAAATATGGTAATTATGCTCAGTTTGAATCTTACTATCGACAAAAAATAGAACAAAAAGAATTACATTTAAAAATAACAAAGTTTTATTTTTGGGCCTGTCAATTTAAATCATTATTTTTTAATTTTTAAAACGGCATATCAAAACATATTTATGCACATTTATGGCTATACAATCTGTCGATACCTGTATCTTGGCATTGCACAAGGTTATGTTTTTCTCTGACTGTTAATGACGTCTTTACACTAAATCATGTGGATGTTGTATGTGTACTGATTAATATTTTAGTCTTAGATGCATGATTTTTATTAGTTGTTACATGTATTGGCTTTGAACTAGCTGTCAGTAACTGCGAGTACTCTCAGATCTGTACTTAGTGTCTTTTTTGTTGTGGGGATGTATCATAAATGTGCTGCCACGTCCGGTCTGTGTTTTTGTTAGTTGTTTTTCTGCTTTGTGTTCAGCCCTTTTCAACTAGTT